TATATATATATATATAAATATTTTATATATATATATAAAAAGCTTTTTTTTTTTTATTTATATATATATATATATATATATATATATATATATATATATATATATATATTTATATATATTATATATATATATATATATATATATTTATATATATTATATATATATATATATATATAATTTTTTATTACTATATATATATTTTTTTTTCTTCTATTATTCTTCTTCTTTTTCTTCTTTTTCTTCTATTATTGTTTCTTTTTTTCTATATATTTTAAATTCTGGTACCTATTTCAGCACTTTTATCTGAAAATTTAACCTTTTTTTCTGCCATTGCAAAAACGTTTTTTTTATTTAATATAATCTTTAATATATTTAGAGTTTTTATATAGTTTTGCATTAGATTAACATCGAGCACAGCCTTAGCTTGAGCTATTTGTTCAATTTGGGTCTCGGTGTTAAAATAAACTGAATAGTTTTTCTAGGTCTTTGTGCTCTCCAGCCTTTAACTGCTGAATAATTGAACAGGATTTGTGAGTGTTTGTGTGGGTGGCTGGACTAGTGTGTCGGCTTATGTGTTCACAGTTTTATTATCCTTCAGCATTCGACTATGACTTCTGTCTCTTCGACAGACTGCAAACAGGGACGAATCCTTGAGACCGCCATCAACCTCAATAAGAATGATGGAAGGCTGGTTCATATTTTAGCATGCTTCTTATTTGCATACCCACCTGCAGACACCAATGTTGTCCCTGTCACGCGGAGTCAAAGCCTGGAGCAAAGTTTAGCTGTGTTTGGTTGTGTGTACGCTGTTAAAAAGCCATATCAGTCTGAAACGGAGACAGGAAGGGATTTTTTTAGGGCCCTCAGACTGAGCAAATATGCAAATACTGCAACTGACTGAAGTATGAATTCAGATCAAAGTATATATTTGTTAAATTAAAGGAATAGTTCACTGTCATTATCTTCTCACCTGCTTCCACCCTGTGTCTGTATTTATTTTTTTTATGCAGTGCATAATGAAATGTTTTGCTGAATGTTTAGATGGCTATTTTCAAAAATAGATGGTAATTTATACCACCAAGGCCCAGCAGGGGCAAAGCAGCATAAGATTAAGTGCAAAGCCATGCAAACACTTATACCTAAGCATATACACTCACTGGCCACTTTATTAGGTACACCTGTCCAAATGCTCATTACCACAAATTTCTAATCAGCCAATCACATGGCAGCAACTCAATGCATAATTTAAGCATGTAGACATGGTCAAGACGATCTGCTGAAGTCCAAACCAAGCATCAGAATGGGGAAGAAATGTGATTTAAGGAACGTGGCATGGTTGTTGGTGCCAGATGGGATGGTCTGAGTATTTCAGAAACTGTTGATCTACTGGGATTTTCACGCACAACCATCTCTAGGGTTTACAGAGAATGGTCTGGAAAAAAGTAACTCAATTAACCATTCATTACAACCGAGGTATACAGAAGAGCATCTCTGAACACACAACATATCAAACCATGCGGCGGATGGACTACAGCAGCAGAAGACCACACTGGGTGCCACTCCTGTCAGCTAAGAACAGGAAACGGAGTCTACAATTCGCAGAGGCTCACCAAAAATAGATAATAGACGACTGGAAAAACGTTCCCTGGTCTGATGAGTCTCGATTTCTGCTCTGACATTCGGATGGTAGGGTCAGAATTTGGCGTCAACAACATGAAAGCATGAATTCATCCTGCCTTGCATCAGTGGTTCAGGCTGTTTGTGGTGGTGTAATGGTGTGGGGATATTTTCTTGCCACACTTTTGGCCCATTAGTACCATGTAAGCATTGTGACAATGCCACAGCCTACCTGAGTATTGTTGCTGACCATGTCCATCCCTTTACGACCACAGTATTCTCATCTCCCAATGGCTACTTCCAGCAAAATAACATGCCATGTCATAAAGCGCGAATCATCTCAGACTGGTTTCTTGAACATAACAATGAGTTCACTGTACTCAAATGGCCTCCACAATCAGCAGATCTCAATCCAATAGATCATCTTTGGGATGTGGAGATTTGCATCATGGATGTGCAGCCAACAAATCTGCAGCAACTGCGTGATGCTATCATGTAAATATAGATCAAAATCTCTGAGGAATATTTCCAGTACCTTGTTGAATTTATGCCACGAATAATTAAGGCAGTTCTGAAGGCAAAAGGGGGTCCAACCTGTTATTTGTAAGGTGTACCTAATAAACTGGCTAGTGATTGTATATTAAACTTGCAATTATTTATCTTTAAATATTCATTTATTTATTTTCCTTCGGCTTAGTCCCTTATTTATCAGGGGTCACCACAGTGGAATGAACCACCAACTATGGCATATATTTTATGCAGTGGATGCTCTTCCAGCCACAACCCAATACTAGGAAACGATTATTCATTGGTAATTTTTATATTTTGAATGCCAAATGCCACTTGTTTTGATGGTCAAATGGCCATTTCTTTAAAAACTCTTTGAAGAAGTTTAATTTTATATTCCATGTGCTCTTAAAAATAAAGGTGTTCTTTATCACCCTATGAAAAACCATCAAAAGTACGTTTTAAGAGTTCCCACTTAGATATGCTTGGCATTTATAGCAGGTTTGGCATGCTGTCCCGGGAGAGAACCTTGAGCTCGGAGATATTTGAGCCCAGGGCTCACGCCCGGTCAATAAGCATATCAGGGGATCCGAGATCAGATAGGTCTGGATCGCTCCCCCTTTAGAAGGGGAGAAAAAGGAGGAGATGGGGTGGAAGGGGGGATTCTTCCAAAACGAAGATAGGGCAATAAGGAGAAAGTGATCCATTTATATTAAGCTAGGATCACTCTGATTGGATTATTACTGATTACGGATGAGTGGCCAGAGGTGCAGAATCATATCATGTGCTCCTCTCGAAATTAGTTTGTGAAACTTTACTTATATTTCACAATTTGTTTTTTTACAGCAGAAAATGGTCCTTTAGAGTATTAAGATATTCTTCACGCTTTTCTGTAACATCAATATGAAAATTTGCAACTTTATTATTAGAAATGGGGAAGAAAAAAAAAGATAAATAAAATGATGCCAAATGTTCATTTGGCATGAACTGTCTTCAATAATTCAGCAAAGGTTATGCATTGTTTGTTAGTGTTATTATCTGAACACTTATTACGCTGCCAAATATTGTTCCAACATTTAGGGTCAGTATATCTGTACGCATTAAATAAAAAAGCATTTGAAATATGCATTCAGTTGTTTTAAAGAACAATAACAACATTGCTACAGAAAGGCTTTCATACATTTCCTAATAATTAATTAATTCTGAAAACATTTAATAGAAGATTTTCAGCAACAACATGTCTTGAGCACCAAATCAGCATAGTGTTGTTTCTGGGGAATCATGATACAGTATTTTTAATTGGAATAATATTTCACAACATGACAGTGTCCTTTTTTTAATCAAATAAAGACAGTAAGTGGAGAAATTAAATTAAACGCATCTTACCTCAAAAAATGTTTGGGCTTTATTTTATGTATCATTGTCCTAGATATAATCCAGAAGTGAAACTGATAAAAAGATGCAAATCAACATATGTTGATTCAGATTTTTGTTTTATTTTCTTATTAGGATGACAGATATAATGAACAACCCTGAACACAGTCGAGAAGACTTCACTGTGAGCGACAGCGGAGAGCAAGGTGTTTCATTGCAGGTTGGTCTCTTTTCTTTGGTTATTTCCTGAAGACCCCAAACTGACCAGTGTCATCTGATCCTTCGTCTAAACTGTCAATCTGTCATTTGTTTAAAAGTATAGTTATGTTAAAAAAATAGCAATGCCTTAAAATAGTGGTTATCTAATTTTTTTCATCAAGTTTTACTTTAAAAAATTGTCTCTCCAAGTACCACTAAAATGAGCAGTATTAAAATACAGAAGCATAGTGGGCCCAGTAAAGCAGCTACAACACAGCACAGTGAAAAAAAACATGGCAGATTACCTCAGAAATATAGGCTATATTTCATATATGGCATATTATATACATCAGTTTTGATAAATTTTGAAATATATGTAGCATACATGACATATTTCATTCCTCTGCATACCACTAGAAGGAAGCCTGCGTACCACTAGTGGTACTCGTACCACAGTTTGAGAACCACTGCCTTAAAAGAAGTGAACAAGGTGCAAATATTTTAAATAGCTTAATATTTAAATTTTTGAGGACAAATTACACATTTAGTCAAAATATTAAGAGATTTTATAAAATCTGTGTGTATATTTTACAGAATGCAAATAAAATGAAAATTAACACAGCAGTAAAAAAGAAATAACAGTATTAATATTTTTTTCTTTAAACTTCGCCTTACATCAAGTCAAAAAACCTTTGGCACAAAAAACAGGTAACTCAGTCCATAATGACCAAACTACATACCACAGTTCCTGTGATTTTTAGTTTTCGCTTTAGAAATAATTTTTTTTATGTCACCCCACACATTTTCATTTGGGTTGAGGTCAGGGGGTTGAGCAGGCCACTTCATTGCCTTCAATCATTTTTGCCTGAAATCAAGATGTAGCTCATATATAACGAGTATGTCTCCAACATTTATTAGATTTACTTATGAATTTCTCCAACAGTACTACAGAACGGCAAGATAAAGTCACTCTATGCAGAACAATAAACCTTTATCTATAAAGTATAATTGTGGAAGTTTTGAAACAAATCTTTGCGCTTAACAAATTAAATACAATATGTAGGCTAATGGATGTCTTCTGTGGAGTGCGTACAACAGTGTTTTCTTATCCACTAAAGTAAAGGAGTAAAAAGTAAAAGTAAACTAAAGAGAAAGCAAAGAGGCCGAATGTAGGAGGCTCGTTCTTTATCCTTGCTGCAGATGGTCTGTTTAACTGTTTTCTCCTAGTGAAGCGTTCAGTTTTTCCATTTACAAAGTCCGCCGTTTAAATAGTAAATGAAACGCAACTGACTCTTAAAGGGAATGCCACTGTGACGCCCCAAATAGTTAATTAATAGATTTTTTTTACAGTGTGTATTTTCTACTTATGTCCTGGATGTAACTGATAAAATAATGAATATTTCATTTTCTGATCCTCCTTAACCTCTATTTAATTGACAAAAGTTGAAAGAAATTAAATTGTATTGTTTAAATAAACATTTCGATTTTGAGGGCTGCAACACACTCAAGAAAAGTTGATCTTTTTAACGTGGTGTCACTTCTACTTCCTTTTAATTACAATGTTTAATCATCTGGAAACTGAAGATAATCGCTGTTAAAGTTGTACAAGCTAAATTGTTACCCAATCTGACACAATTGATCTTCAGCAGCTCAACAGTCAGTGATAATTTTTTTCTGATCCTCATTTTCACGATGGTCCATTTTCGATAAAAGAAAAGAGATCTGGCCTCCAGGCCAATCATGCACTTTGTGTTTACAAAACCCTGGATGTGCCGAATAAAATTTGATCTAATAACCATAGACGGAATGTCTCTGGGCTCTCCAAATAAATGCCTCCATGTAAACGACCTACATTGGTTGTGATTTTGCACTGAGAAATGTGATTTTAAATTTGTTTGACAATTCTTACATGACTTTTGGCACAAAGGGATGAGTCATGATCCTGCTTGCTAAGACTGAAATGCTTCTCGTGTATCACCCACTTGGCTGTTTATCATGGACTACATCAAAGCTGCTGAACTGCTTAATCTTTTCACTTTTATTTTGCCAAACATTTTTGGAGTCCACAAAATCTACATTTCCATTCTTTCATTCATTTTCCTTCGGCTTAGTCCCTTTATTCATCAGGGGTCACCACAGCAGAATGAACCACCAGTTATCCAGCATGTGTTTTACACAGCGGATGCCCTTCCAGCTACAACCTAGTACTAGGAAACATCCATACCCTAAGGCCAAGTTATTCAATTCACCTATAGCGCATGTATTTGGACTGTGGGGAAAACCGAAGCACCCGGAGGAAACCCACTCCAACATGGGGAGAACATGCAAACTCCACACAGAAATGTCAGCTGACCCAGGCGGGACTCGAACCAGCTTCTTGCTGTGAGACCACAGTGCTAACCACTGAGCCACTGTCCCACCCACATTTCCATACATTTTTAAAATAATTGTAAGTTTGTCAGTGAAAATGCTAGAAACTTTTCTTTAAAGGGCACCTATCATGCAAGTTTTGGAATCTGTTTGGACAGAAATGTGTGACAGAATAGTGTGTATGAGCCATATAAAAATGGAATAGACACATAAAGTCTATTTTTATTTTCTACAATTACATCAGGATCCAAATCTCAAACACATTTTCAGTCCTGCGGTTATTCCCGCCCACCAATTTTGATTGACAGGCATGCATTATCATATCCACAAGACAGGATTTGCAAAGAAACTGGCATTAAACAATCTGTTTCAACTATCTGTGATCCCACTGCATCCTAAAAAGTTCGTTTTGTATTTTTCATGGCAAAAAAAGGTTAACTGCTATGCAATTCCCAACCGCTTGAATCACCACAGCAATAGTGTCAGTACAACTTTAAACAAGGATGCTTCAATAGCTGTTTCCATCCAAAAATGTGAATTAACTTAATGCGTAAAACTGGATTATAACATAAAAGATAAAGCAGCGTTTCTATCCAATGAGTCAAAGAGAACAAAATCGTCACTTCCTGATTAACTGGCACCAAATATCAACGGTAAAAACTAAGTTTGCTGCGGTAGGGGAATCTTTTCCTTATTTAATAATTGACTTTCACCTCAGGAGACTATATGCCAACACACAATAAGCATGTGGTGGTGTTTGCAGGTGCGAGACACAGAGCACAGAGCACAATTATTAATATAATAACACTAATACTCAAATGGTTAAGATGTTTTAGAATGACCAAAACAACATTTCAGATGTTTCACAATGTGCTCAGCCTGCTGGTTTGTCCATTCACACATATTTTTATCACCACATGTCATGATCTTTGTGATTTGATGAATGGTTTATTTTATCCTACCCGTCAGATCATGCTAACAACACTTTTTGCATGGTTCTGAGGTTGGGGTTAGGGATTAGGTACTGAAGGTTAGGGCACTTGTAGCAGAATCTGATGGGTAGCATATTAAGTCATGTCATTAAAATGTGCTGCCTACTTTTTGAATGGGAGGTAGGACAATTTGATAAACTAGGACAAATCGACAAAACACCGGCTGTGTGTGACAGACTTACTAGCCAATTGAGTATGCACTCTTTCGTTCTGCTCAACCAGAATTGCGCAACCGAACTACGCCCACAATAAAAAATAAATAAATAAATAAAACTAACAGGTAAGCATTGATAAGTGGGACTATGGTGTCTGCTGCTTAAGGAGCATTATAAGACAAATTAATATAAAAAAAACAGCATTTGTAATATGGGAATATTTTAGTTTCAAGGGCTCTGTTTTTACGATCTAGGCACAAAGTCTAAAGTGCAGGGCGCAAAAGCATTAAGGGCATGTCCGAATTCACTTTTGCAATTTTAACAACGGAAAAATATGCTGCGCATGGTCTAACAGGGTTGTGCTTATTCTCTTAATGAGTTATGGGTAGGGCCAGATGGAATCTGCTGACATGTTTTGTTATTTATAAGAAGAGTTTTAGTAAAAATCTGCAAATTTCTGCAGAATTATTTTGGGAGTATCATAACTAAAACCTTAATATGTGAAATAAAAAATAACATCTTTTAACTTTTATTTAATGTTTAAAATGCAAATCCAATTAGATTCACATTATTTGGTAAACAAAGCAAGTCTCTTATATAATATCTATACTAAAAGACAGAAAATATTACTGTACAAACTGCATTGTACACAAATCAGATGAACATTTTCATATTCCTCAATAATATTACTGTAATTCAGGGGTTTCCAAAGTCGGTCCTGGGGGGCCGATGTCCTGCTGACTTTAGCTCCAACATGCTTCAACACACCTGCCTGGAAGTTTCTAGTATACCTAGTTAGAGCTTGATTGGCTTGTTCAGGTGTTTTTGATTAGAGTTGGAGCTAAACTCTTCAGGACACCGGCCCTCCAGGACCGAGTGTGGACACCCCTGCTGTAATTAATTTAAAAACTGAATGAATATAGATTTACATACATTTACTGAAGTAAATAAACAGAATTAATGATGGACTCTAAATCTGCGGAAAATCTGCGGATTTTTGCGCGCGCAGATTTCGTGTGGGCCTAGTAATGGGTGTGTTTTCATAATAAACCAATCAGAGTCTCATCTCCCATTTCCTTTAAGAGTCAGTTGCATCACGCCATGGTGCATTTGTTATTTACATGGCGGACTTTGTAAGTGGAAAAACTGAACACTTCACTAGTGAGAAAACAGTTAAACGTACTGTCTGCAATGTGAGAATAAAGAATGAGCCTCATCCAATCGGCCTCTTTACTTTCTCTTTCTCTATTTCGTGGATAAGGAAACGGTGTTGTACGCACAGACGTTTGTTAGTCTATAACTAATTTCGTTTGTTAGGATTTGTTTCTAAACTATTTCTAAATTCAGTTTTAATTTCCAGCAAATGAATAAATGAACAATAATAACGAAGTGTGGTCAAACAAGTTATATCCATACATTTAATAAATAATACTTCTACTAATAAAAACATTATACAAAAAGCAAATTGTCGTGAATAAACTGAAAAAATCCCCCCGAGACGACGAAGGCATGGAGGTTTTTAATTTTATGTGGAAAGTAATCATTTGTGTAATATTGTATTCCTTTAATTTTTTCATTTGAAAAGATATTTCTGTATTGCTGTTCATCCTGCGTGTTTTAAGCAGTGTGTAAGCGAGGCGCACAAGTACTCTGCGCTGGGCTATAGACCTGCTTTCAGCCAGTTCATTATGCAGTCTATATTAGTTCCTCAAAACAGCTACGCAACAACAATGCGCCTTTTATCTAGACCGAAACACCCAAAGGTCCACAAAGTGTCTGAATGGATTTGCTATATTTAAACAACATGGCGGAAAATGGGAAAATTAAGGTCTAACAATAGCGTCGGGGCAAAAAACGGGGCAAACACGTCTTGCGCCTTATTGTGTCAGGTGTATGAAAGGGCCCAAAATCACAGACATCGAACAAAGACAGGTCATTTTTAAGAGCTGTCACAGAATTGTTGCCACGGCTTACAGATTATTGAGCTGAAGCTTGACTACAAAATTCAACTGTAAATCAAATCGCAATCGCAATAGTGAGGAGTGGATCTTGTTTATTGAAAGGAAAGTGTAAAGATGCTACATGCTACAACCAATCACATGTAAAATCAAAATCAATAAAAAACTTAATCACAAAAAAAATCGCAACCGCAATACCTGCTATTAGATATTTTCCCCACCAAAGGCACCAAAGACTTTGCATCTGGTAAACATATGAGCCCTATAAATACAAATAAGGGAAACTAAAAAAAAAAAAAATCACACATTCTTGATTGTATTGTGCTTTAAAAACCTGCCAACATTTTTAAAATTGTGATTATACCTCAAAAGCATCTAAAAAGAAAATATGTGAATCACAAAATGCAGGAAAACTTATAAGCAATATATTGTAATTCAAATCTACAGACACAAATTGATAAGTACAGTAAGTAATATTGAATAAGTAGAAATGATAAGTAAGATTATGATAATGTTTGTTTGGGATGTTTTCTTTCCACTAGTCTTAAAGAAGTCACGTAGTAGGAGTAAAACAGCTTGAAATGGCCTTAAAACACTGGCCTGTGCATACACAAACAATGGGTTTGCCAGTGGTGAAGTGGAACATTTAACATCTACACGATGATTTCACAGGTAAAATGTCTATTTTCAGATATTTCCAGACACACAGGAACGCCACCCCAAGCTGTCCAAGCGTCTGCCCTCCATCGTGGTGGATCCCACAGATGGAGGAGAGGTGGAGAGCGGAGAGTTACGTTGGCCTCCGGATGACCAGATGACCACAGAGCCTTCAGGCCCAACGCACACATCTCAAGAGATCGCGTCTGCCTCACAAACCCAGATCTCACACAGCCAGAGCGCAGGTGTGTAAGAGGAATATGCATTTTGCAACACTTTCAGCATTGACCCATAACTACGATGTGCCTAAAGGGGAACGAGTAAATATATGCTGCTTAAATGTGTTTCAGTTTAGAGAAGTGCATTTATAAATGACTATGCATGCATTTTCCCCCCTCAGATGAAGCCAAGTGCAGCAGCCTGGAAACATCAGGGGCAGCTGAGCGTAACTGAAATTTTTATAAATATGTTGTTGCGAGTCTGTCATTATCACAAGTCTCAGTTCTCACAAACTGTTCACACTTAGAAAGAAAGACACAAACACACTGACAAGCAGCCAATCTGCCAGGAAGGTGCAAATAAGATCAGAGCTCGCGATGCTATATCTGAGCACCTTTTGTAAAGCGCTCGAGGCTTTGAAAAAGACTTTCAAAAGTCTTTCGTACTTTTTCAAATGAAGCTCTTGTTACATTTTAGCTGTGGTTTTAGCAACATTCTCACAATGCATTTAAGTTTTAAAGCCTGAATTATGAAATTAGGAAGCTGTTACTGTATCTTTCCACACTGTCAAAAGCGATTACTTTACTTTACTTAAAAAAAAAGGGAGTAAATGTGTTGCCTTAAAAGCAACAAATCGATTTAACTTTGGACGGTGGATCAGTAGTTAGCATTGTCGCCTCTCAGCAAAAAGGTTGCTGGTTCAAGTCCCAGCTAGACCAGTTGCCATTTCTGTGTGGGGTGTGCATGTTCTCCCCCACAGTCCAAAGACATGTGGTACAGGTGAATTGGGTAAGCTAAATTGGCCGCAGTGTATTAGTTTGTGTGTGAATGAGTGTTTATGGATGTACTGGGTTGCAGCTGGAAGGGCATCCGCTGTGTAAAACATATGCTGGATAAGTTGGTGGTTCATTCCGCTGTGGTGATGCCTGGTGAATGAAGGGACTAACCCGAAGGAAAATGAATCAATAAATTGTGCATAGTGTATGAGTTTGTGTGTTTCCTAGTACTGGGTTGCGGCTAGAAGGGCATCCGCTGCGTAAAGCATATGCTTGAATTGTTGGCGGTTCATTATGCTGTGGCAACCTCTGAAATAGAGACTAAGACTAAGAAAAGTGAATGAATGAATGAAAAAAGTTGTTAAACCCATTGACTTAACTTTTATAATGATGCACAAATTTTGTGTTTTAAAGTTATTTACATTAGATGTCGCCCATACGCTATTATTGTCTATTGGAAGGAATGCGTCAATAGAGCCACAATTTTAGTACAGTGTAGTGCTCCTTTGAAATGAATGTGGGACCAAGGTGAAGTGGAGGATTGGCCATCCAGACCCCAAGATATGTAAACATTTTTACATATATATATATATATATATATGATCGGGATGGTCAGTATGCAAATATTTCTTTTAAATTATGGATAGTATAATTTTACATCATTTTTCTACATCGATGGATAAATGATGGCACGGGCATTGCCGACAAAAAGCGTGTGTTTGTGTGCCTGGAAATGTATTATCTAATCCATGTCCTGAAACACACCCCCGTCCTGCTTTCACTTTTAATTTAAATGTAGGGAGCGATTCGTTTGTGATAAATCCCCATTATGAACGTTTCGTTCACTTAGCTGACAATAATGCAAGTTTCTGGCACCCCTGTGCTGATTTTATTCAACAAAACTAGCATAATCATAGTATTTAGTGCGAGTTGGTGCTACTTTGCCTTATGGTCAGTGCATAAAATGACTGTATTATCTTCAATTACGTTACTTGTTGAGCACAAAAGTCTGTAACACAAAAACGTAAAAAACAAATATTGAACACAATCTCACGGTAATTCGTAACTTGTGGCTAATTCATACAATTTAGTACAATTTGCTCATCACCCAATGACGGTTGGGGTTAGGGGTAGGGTTGGGCCACGCCTCCTTTTTAAAATCGTACATTTTTTGTACGACGAAAATTCGTACAAATTAGCCACTAAACTGACAAAACGTATCATACTTACGTTTCCTCGTGAGATCAGGCTGGAAATATTATGCCTATGTGCTTAGTTTTCTTTGTTTGCTCATTACTACACCTGTACACAGCGCTAAAGTCCAATATCTTCATGTTTGTATTTAGTTTTGACTAGTGCGGTTGAATGACTTTTGTCCTGAAAGCCCTGTACAAATGTGGCGGCGCTAAAACGCATGCTCAGGGTCCCTATGCAATATCTAGTATATACATCTATGAAATGTTATAAGCCAATGGGTTTACTCTCTAGTATATACATCTATGAAATGTAGAAATAATCTATGAAATGTAGAAATAAATCTATATCTAGTATACATCTATGAAATGTTTTAAGCCAATGGGTTTACTCTCTTTTTTAAGTAAAGTCAACTAATCGCTTTTACAGTGTATACGTGTGATTATCATTTGAATGACACAACAACAAAACAATTCTATGAGCTTCTTTAAGTTGGTAAATATGAATGTATAAATAAGTCATGTATAAATGTATAAAGAACTCTTCCATGTTTAGACTTAATGTACAGGCATTCAAACAATTTAACTTTATTAACTAGCTAATTGTATTAGTCACCTTACTAATACAATCAGCTGTTAATGGATGTAAAATGTGAAATGTTCTTTTTTTATTTATTCTTTTTTTTATTGCTTTTGTGACAAAACAAACCACAGTGTGATATTGTGTTTGCGGAAGAAGTGAAACTAACGCAGCAGTGTGGGAACTTGCCGGGTCAATAATATACACTTGTTCATTTGGTGGATGATTTTATTCAACAATGTTGCTAATGTTGCTTTCAATGTGTGTTTAATCAGTTAATGTGTTCTCTGGGTGTTAACACATGACCCTGGCTTTGCTAGCAGCATGCTCTGCCACTGCAAATTTACATTGTATTTTATTAGTTACAAATACAGCACAAGCATCTTCCTGATGGCCGGATTTAGACTTCTCAAGTCATTACATTCAATTAAATCCCACACCCTTTCTTGTAATCTCAAAGGTGCATTTTCACTTTGTTAGTCAGCTGTGATCGGAACATTCCACAAAGTTCTGACAAATTTTCCATCTAAACTTGCGTGACTGGAACCTCAGGTTTTGACTGTGTGATTTGAACTTTAAAAGGATGGTTCACCCAAAACTGAAAATTATCTCATCAATTACTCACTTGTTCTATACCTGTTTGACTTTCTTTACTGTGTTAAACACAAAAGAAAACATTTTAATGAAAGCTGGAAACCTGTCCCCATTGACTTCCATAGTATTTGTTTGTCAAAATATGGAAATGAGGGGTTTCTTTAGTGTTCAACAGAAGAAAGAAACTCATAAAGGTCTTGGGGGTAGACAGTGAGTAAATTTAAATTTTTGGATGAACTATCCTCATAAATAAATGAACATGAGCAAAATAAGCAAGCGAACATGGAGAACAAATAAAAAAACTTTTAATTCAATGCATAAATTAATGCTATTCCATGTCTTTTGATTATTTGGAATATTAAAGTGCCATATCTTTTAAGAAAATCAGTGTATTTGCACAAATACCACTTTAAAATCCCGAAGTAACATAAAGCAACCTGTGAAATAAAGCAGATGTAGGAATAAAGCATCCTTAGGTGTTAATATTTTTATTTACAGCAATATTCTGACATTATTCTTAAGGGTGTTTTACCTTTATTGGGTTAGGACAGTGGAGATTTTACATACAAAGTGTGGGGAGCAGAGATAGGGGAAGGATCAGCAAAGGACCTCGAACTCGGGTCACCGTGAGCACGTTGGTGCTATGTGTCGACGCACTAACCACTAGGCTATCAGCGCAGACATTTGACATTATTTGAATTGTAAACTAAAATTATCATTCCAACCTCTGCGTGATGTTACCTTCTACAGTCATAATCAACGTAGTTCGAATGCCAACACAGTTCAGAAAGCTTGATTAACTGGTTGGTTTGTCTATCAACTTATCATACTTTAGTAATTCAGCAGCAAGTCATGTCTTTTTTAAGGAAATTCACCGCATACTGGCCTCAAGTGCAAGTTTGCGAAGCGATATGAAAGGATTCACTTGATTTTATTTAGAACTGCGCATTTTTCTTGAGCTTATAATCAATGTGCAATGAAACAGAATTAGAATAGTCACCACTGACATTCTCAAAACAATATATGCTCGTTCACAGACACTTTAAAGTACAAATTTCCGCTATTAACATACTTGTTGTTTATTAGTACTTATAAAGCAGGGGTGCCCAAACTTTTTCTAATAAGGGGCCAAAAACCAATCTTGAGTGAGGCTAGCAGGCTGAAGGTAAATATAGGTAATTTTCTAATTTATTTAATAATATTTAAAAAATAACTAGTAAACATTGCTTTATATGAACTAATACAGCATTATTTATACATTTAATATTGAACTTATTACAGTAAATTTAAAAAATAAAACAATCTAATTTTAACAGCATGAAGTTACATTAGTTTTTGCCTTGATTTGCTCACTGATGTCTTCTACATAGTCATCTATCTGTCAGGTGACATTGTTTACATTATAAAATAATCCAATTCATTAACAACATTTAATTGAAACATTTGTCCATAGAGAAATGGAACAACATGAAGCATGAGCTTCTTTGGATATCTGTGTCAAATCTAGAACGAGATGTGTTTTGATTTGTTATTAAGCCTTTCCCTGTGATAAATCCCAGAAACCGTATATTGAAAAGTGACCACTGTGAGTCTCACATTCATGGCAACATTATTCATTGCACGCTCGCTGACTGAAAAGTTTATGTGAGGAGACTACATCCTCTCTGCGCACCATCTGGCTGAGGCTTGTGAGAAATGACTGCTACTGAACTTCAAACATGTCTGCCTGTCAATCATCCTCAGGACAAGGACTTCCTTATATCTCCCAGCCCTGTCTGAGTGTCTGCAGATCGGAAATGATTACAGGCTTTTTATGCACGCACACAATATTTTTACAAAACACAATAGCTGGAGCTCGGGTCCCACACTGGACGACAGGCAGAGACTATTGTACAGCCAATCTCTGGATTTAATCAGTTGTGTGTGATATTCTCTTTCTTAGGGTTAGGAATTTAAGCAATTATACCTTTGTACGTAAATCATTCTGAACTGTTTATACTAAAGGCATGAATAATATTTGAAATCTTTCTGGAGATTTAAACTCTAATATTGTAGTAATTTGCTTGTAACTATTTTATTAAATTAAGTAGTGAATTGGTGGCTTATTTTATGATCTCAATCATGTTTTCCATGTGCGTTTGGCCTACTTTTTGGGTGGACCTTAATATGTACTTATGTTTTTTTTAAACTGTTGTTTGTTTTTTACCAGTTCTTATACACTATTGACCCAAATAGTTGACTTTACTAGATAATTGCAGCTGTGTGAAATAGTGTTGTCACGTTACTGGAGTTTGGTACCAGTCGATACTGAAATTTCCCACTAACATTTGAGCGCTGTTGAGAACATTACTAAACATTGCTGGTTTGCCGTTGGTATTCACGTGGTCAACAGACATGACTGTGATTAGTCGTGAAGGTCATCAGTTCACCGAACTCACCACTGTT